CCCCAAAACCCCAAAACCCCAAAACCCCATTTATACTTGTATTTATTGAAATAATAAAATGAATTCAAGAACTCATCACAGGACCAAATATAGCAGGTCCATTCATCGCAATAAACTTAAGAATAACACACGAATCATAACTAATGATGAGTAAGTCTTTAAGAGTCTTTACTATCTGCCATCAGTGGTAACTTCTTTAGCTACGGGATGCCCGACATAAGTATTAAAAATACCCGAATCTCCAGAAAAATTAACTCAACTTCACGGAATAATAAGACAGAATATCACACTTTTAATGATTTTAGTCGAACTTCAAGGTAACGTATTTGTATATTTTCAGCCAAATTGTTAATTGTGAAAAGATTTATATTGAGAGTAATTCCATTGCTTAAAAACTCAGAGGGTACCTTTCTTCCTCTATATTTTGATGCCAACATCTCTTATTGTTGTGAAGGATACCGAACTTAAATCAAAATTTGAGAAGGAAAAAGAGAATGGAATTGAAATCAATGCTAAAGCAACACCAAAGAGGTGGATTTCAGCAAAAGTTTATGAAGTATTTTTCTATATTTTATGAATATAGTTTTGCTAAAAGTCCATCTCCAGTATTATTAAGCAAACATAAGCTACTTAAGAGTAAGAGATAGTATCTATTAGTTTAGCTGGAATGTTCCAACCGAAGAAGATTAATGACTTTAATACACTAATCAAACGTCAGAAGCGGATTAAAATGATGAAGAAATTTCAGCAGCAAAATATCAAGAAATTTGATGAAATGGTTATAAAAATCCAATCGTTCTTCAGAGGTTATAAAGCTCGGAAAATTTACAGAAAAATTCAGTAAAATATCTCAATCATCTCTAGAGCTGACAAAAACAGAAAAATTATATTTTTGCAGCATCGGTGGAAGGAAAAGAGAAGGAACAGAGCTGTTAATGTAATTCTAAAATTCCTTCGTGGCTACCAGGAATGGATGAAATACAGGTATATTTCAACATAAAAGTAGATTACACATAACTACTATCCGCACAGATCTATACTTCAAAGGGTTACGGAAGCAACTTGAGAGGCAAAGTGTTGCTACAATAGGTAATAATTTTATGGTTATCCCAATAGAATGGGCATTTCTGAGATATAAGGTAGATTTCAGACCAAAAATTCATAGAAAAACGTTAAGAAAATTGAGAAAAGGATTAAAGACCAACAGTTCGAGTTTGAAAAACAGCAGAAACACTCTATTTTTGCGTAAATCATTGCTCCTGATTTGTAGCGAAAGAGCTTGTAGAAGAAAGAAAGGCTCAAAAAGAGGATCAAAAAGAGGTTCTAATAGCCGTTATTCTGTCAAAAGTGGGTTAGACAATTCCATATACGAAGAAAATCATCCCAATCCTCGTGAGATGAGGAGGCTCCATCAGAGTGAGACTATTACAGAGCAATTTAAGGCATTTCAGCAAGTTCCAAAGTAACTGGCTGTTTAATTTTAGAAACTCGATGCTCAGTAGTAATAACGTAGCTACTTCTTTGTTGACCAACTTTGCAGCAATAATTGAGAGTATTTTCAGACTAAACAAATAGGTAACTAAAGCAAAGAGAGGGTCAGGAAAATCCAGAAAGTCAGGAAAGTCTAGAAAGTCAGGAAAATCTAATCGAAGAGGTAAAATACATCAGTTTGAACAAAATATAAACTAGATTTGATTTGCTTCTAAAACTTCATGTAGACCGATCAACAAGTTCTGTATCAACAGCAAAGTAAGGAAAAGAAATAACTTTTAGGAGGAGTTTTATTAATCAAGGATTGAGTGCAGTTCCAAATAAAATTGCGGAAAAGATGAGAAGGAAGAGCAGTAGCAAAATTAAAAAGGAAGACTGTATGAAAAATATTAACAAGTTTTTGTATCAAAAAATTAGCCCTTAATATCCTTAAAGTGAATAATCTTTACAATGTCATTAAAAATTTGCCAAATTTGAGTGCAATAATTTTTTTTTAATTCTTTAGCCTGATAATAACTAATTTAGTTCAAAATACTTCATCCTCAAAGACATTTATTAGTCGAATGCCTCATACAGGGCTTCCTAAATCTCAAATTAGGAACTCTAAAGGTCTTAAAAAGGCAGTTAATGGCAAGATTAGAGCTAGCTCTATTGGTAAATTCTCTCCTTAAGTCTAGATTCAACTCAAAAACAGAATTCTACATCTCTTGTTAAGAATTTTAATTCAGGAATGGACTCCAGCATTAAGATAAGACTGAGAGAGCCTCCTGAGGCTAATGAAAGTGTTATGCCTAAGAAGGATAGTGCAGAGAGTAAAGGTATAAAGTCAAAGTCTTAATTTAGCCATTTCTTCAGCTCTTAATGATTCTCCTAAGACAAATAACCTTGTCAAGCGTCTCAAGACTATTTTTGAGAAAAGAGAATAGCAAGCGAGGTATTTCATATTTTTTGATTTTTCTAGAATCCTCCCAAGGAAATCATTCAGTTAAGAAAGAAAATCAGGTGAACTCTGGTCAGATAAAGAAGCGCCAAAGTCAACAGAACGTTCTAGTCTCAAACAAAGGTTTGAGAAGAAGATCTGGTGTTAAAAGTAATTGAAAGAACAAGAGAAACAAAAGGCTTACTATTGCAAACGATATCTCCTTACGTAACAGGATATTATCTCCTAATGAGGAAAATAAGCAGCCCATTATTAGAATCCACCAGTCTTTTAAGTCTCCTAAAAACCCACAAATTCCTTCTATTATTAACGACGAGGATTACCCAACATGCGAGAACATTGACATTTAAATTCTTTCAGAATACTTCTAAAGAAAATGAATTAGAACAATCAGAAGAACGAAAACTAATCACAAGCAAGTGAACGCTCAAGTTCAAGGGATCAGTCAAGAAGAGGGCTTTTCCTAAGAAAATGTCGATTATCAATCCTTCATTGGGACCGAATAAAAAGTATTTAAATAGTAAGCCGAAGCAAAAGAGTTCAAATGAGAAGACAAAGAGTTCAAATGAGAAGACAAAGAATGTAAAATAAGGGCAACAAAGATATTGATATCAAAGCTAAACCTTTAAAGAAGAATTTGAAATCTAAGAATAACTCGAAAAATAGTAAGCAAATGTATAATTCTATAGCAAGACTGAAGAAGAAACATGAAGAGCAGATTAAGGATTGATCGCATTCTGAAAACTCCTCGGTCTCGCAAGTGAGCAAGCGTTCTGCTTCTAAAATTGATGAGGTATTCTATTGCTAGTGAATTTATAGACTAAAATTGATCCTCCAGTTAGTAAATTCAAGCAGGAACCAAAACCTGAGGTGCCTCAAACTTCTGGCATAAATATAGACATAGGATCGAATAAAATTGTTGAGAAATTTAAGCAACCAAAGGCTGATAATGAAGAGTCTAATTCTCAGTATAGCTATGACTTTATTGAATAATTTATCTTCAATCAACCATAGTGTGTTAGGGGTTTTGGGGTTTTGGGGTTTTGGGGTTTTGGGG